TTGGGGGATTGGGAAACCTAAAATCAAAGTGCGAGCAAATGCATTATCTGTTGAGAATTCCCTCTGCTACACAGATGGCTCCTCCTAGCTGTGTTCTTCATGGCAGAAGGCAAAGGGGGCTAACAAACTTTCAGGGTCTCTTTTATTATTATTATTTTAAAATTGATATTGTTGTTATTGTTTTGTTTTGAGCTTTTCAAGACAAGGTCTCACCATGTAAGCTTGACTGGCCCAGAGCTCACTATGGAGAACAGGCTGACTTCAAACTCATCCTTCATCCACCTACCTGTGCCTCCCCAGTGCAGGGATTGAAGGCGTGCACCACCCTGAGGTCCGTTTGTGAAGGCCTTGTCTACATGAGTACCTTACTAACATCACTGCATTTCAGCAAATGAAAGGGAGAGGAGTGTAAGCAATGGGACCATAGCAATGGGCTTGTGCCATGCATGCCCTCTTCCTCACTTCTGAGTGTAAATGAAGAAGCAACATGATTCCTCAGGCTCAGGCTGGAAGCCACTGGCTGAGTCGAGAGCATCCTGGGCAGAGGTTTTTAAGAGACAGGTTTTTCCAGTTCTGACTCAACTATAGGACATGGGGGCATGAATAGATTGATCTCTCTGTTCCTTACAGTAGCAACCTCCACACCTACCTGCTTCCCTAGGATTCTGTAGCTAAGAGACATTTCTTTTTTTTTTTTTTCTTTCTTTCTTTCATTTTTTTTTTTTTTAAATAAAGACAAGTGTTATTAAGAGCCTTGGGTGTGGTTCTGCCTGAGGATTGGCTATAGGTTCAGTACACATAAGATCCGTCAGGTCTGGGCCCTGAGAATTTGCATCTCAAAATTCCCTCATGAGGTTCAATGCTGGCAAGAGTAGCAGAGTTGCAAGGCTCTTGCTGGTAAAATCCCTTTTGTGTTGGGTTCTCAGGTTTGGGAAAGTAGATGTGTCAGTAACTTTTCCGTTGCTGTGATAAAACACCATGACTGACACAACTTATAGAAGGAAGGGTTTAGCTTATGGTTCTGGAAAGATAAGAGTCCATCATGGTAAGTAGCAAACATAGTGTCTGGAACAGAAGCTAAGGGCTCACATCTTGAACTGCAAGCAGCAAGCAGAGAGACAGAGAGAGAGCTCACTGGTAAGGTGCCAGGACTTTTCAAACCTCAAAGCCCCACACCAAATGTCATATTTCCTTCAACAAGGCCACACCTCCTAAGGCTACCCAACCAGCGCCACCAACTGGAAGCCAAGCATTCAAACACCTGAGCCTGCGGGGAACACTATCATTTAAATCACCACAGTAGGAATAGGCATAGCATGAGTTAGGTGTTATACACTCACTGTTTAATTATGCCCACAGCAAACCTTAAGAGGCAAGTGGTATTCTCAGTCTACAGATAAGAAAATGGAACCTGGGAGAAATGACTTTCCTATAGTCATACATCCAGTGCCCAACTCAGGTTCCAGACCCAGATCTTCCAGGGCTAACTAATGTCTTTTCCCCTACATTACACTGTCAGACTTCCCTCTAGCTAACTCTCTGTCATATGCTACACCAGGGGTTCTCAACCTGTGGGTCACCACCCTTTGGGGATAAAATGACCCTTTCATAGGGGTCACCTAAGACCATTGGGAAGACACAGATATTTACATCACAATTTATAACAGTAGTAAAATTATACTTATGAAGCAACAATGAAAATAATTTTATGGTTGGGGGTCACCAATATGAGGAACTTATTAAAGTTGCAGTGTTAGGAAGGTTGAGAACCCCTGCTCCACACAGTGCTGTTAAAAATGTTCTTTCCAGGTCTTTCTTACATTATAACTTAGTAGATTTTAGGCTGGTTAAGGTGCCCATACTTCTTTTTCTTTCTTTTTTTAAAGATTTATTTATTATGTATACAGCATTCTGCCTGTATGTATGTCTGCAGACCAGAAGAGGGCACCAGATCTCATTATAGATGGTTGTGAGCCATCATGTGGTTGCTGGGAATTGAACTCAGGTCAAGTAGCCAGTGCTCTTAACTGCCAAGCTATCTTTCCAGTCCCTTCTTTTTCTTTCTTTTCCTTGTTTTTTATTATTATGTTTTCAAGTAACTGCATTAAAGTGAAAAAAGAAAAAAGTCTCCTGGGTAATCCTAAATTTAGCCAAGTACACTTTGAGACTGCCCATTCTGCCTTCCCTGCTGGTTCAGGTGCAAAGCTTTTAAACCACATAGCTGACGGACTTAAGATGTATGGAAATGTCCCAGGACCTTGTTGAAACAGACTGCTGGGCTTCACTCTGGGATGCTGATTGTCCAAGTCTGAGTAGGACCTGGGCACCTGCCTTCTAAGTCCAAGATGATGCTATAAGGCTGCAAGGCCCAGAATACACTTCGAAAACTATTGTCCTACGAGCTCACCGATCGAGGTACAATCCATGGACCCTGAAGCTTGATACAACTCCTCAGGCTTCGTCTCACACCTCCTGAACTCCAATCTGTGTGCATCTTATCACTGCCTTCGAAAGGCCAGACAGGAGCAAACCCTGGGGTGGAGGTAGACGGAGAATATCCCTTCTTCTTTATTAGGTAGCAGCGACAAGTTAGGAGGGTGAGCAGGAGGGAGGGCTGCCAAGAGACAGAGTGGGTAGAGGGCTCTTCCATGTGGTCCTCAGTCAGCACATGGACTAAGACTGGGGTCCCATTGGTAGGATGGATACAATGGAAATCCCGGGTGTGTGGGGACATAGAGGAGAGGCGTGAGTGCATGCCATTGGAGACCCTTGGGCCATTACATCTTTTATATTTAAAGGGTGGGGAAAATCCTTCCTTCATACATGAATGCATATGAATAGACCAAAGGGAGTCCTTTAATTGCTCAGACATATGAAAACAGATTTGGGAGTGGCTAGGTTGCAGTGCTGTCTGTGGAGATGGCTGGAGTCCCCAGACCTGCCCCGTCTTGACTCCTGCCCTGCAGCTCTGAAGGGAGGGAGCAGCTGCTTCCAGCACTGGCTCCCTGTGAATCCCATAGCTGCTTGTCCCTCCTGTGCCTTCTGACAGCTTCTACACCATGCATCCCTCCCTCTCTCACAAGGAAAAGGTCTCCTTAGTGTTGGATGTTCACCTTTGAGCAGAGCCCTTCCTTTCAAGCACCCACAGGAAACCAGGAAATGAAACAGAGTGAAGACTTCTTTTTTAGTTTTACATGTATGGCACTGTGACATGTTATCTACAGGCAGGAAGCAGAAGGAGATGAATACTCCTGCCCTGTTTGCTGCCACATTCTTATTCAGCCTAGGACCCCAAACCCTGTAGTGGTATCACCTACATCAGGGTGAATCACCCTACCTCAGTTGATACAATCCAGAGAGTCCCTCACAGGCACTCCTAGAGGCTTACGATCTTAGATCCTGTCAAGGGGACAATATTAACCATCACCACTTCCATGTGGAGTTCACATGTTAACACATAATTCTCCCCTCACTCCCCCAAGGGGGTAGCATGTATTCCAGCATCAAACAAGATTATTTGAAACTTGGTACATTCTGGTGCCAACTGCAGGCAGGGTTTTTGGTATCTGAGCCTTTGTTTCCTTCCTACTCACCCCTGTAAGGGAAGGGGCCATGGTCATTGTCGCTGTGCCCACACTGAGACCAAGTGTTGTGCAGGGCACAAAGGAAATGGTCACGGATGTTCAGGAACAGAGGCAATAAAACCATCTATCTCCCTCCTCTCTGGGACTACTTTGAGCAAGGCATGTTCTTGTCCAAGCTATGAGGGTGAGCTAGGTTTATTACAAGGGACATTCCCTGTTCCTTCTTGGAAGAAGGTGCCATACTTTGAAACAACAAGAACTTCTTGGTTCTTGATTGCCTCCTATGTCAGGCTCTGAGGAGAAGCCAATTCTTTATAACTGTTTGTCCAAGGAGGGATCAAACGGGCTGCTGCCTCCCACCAGGGCCAGGTGTCCCTCTCTTTTCATCCTCTTCCTCTTCGTCACCCTCTTTACACAGGGACGAATGCCATTTGGAAAAGTACAGCTGGGTAGATATGAATCAGCTCAGGCAGGCGACAAGTGATTCACATCTGACCGACTTGATTTAGTTCAGGTCTTCCATTCTGAAGCCTTCTCTCCCTTCTAATTAAACCATGGTTGCTCTTGGTGGTGGGAGGAAAGAGGCTGACTATAAAGTCTGTTTTTGTGGAAGCTGGGAACAGGGGGGATAACAGAACGTGCTTTCCCATTTGGCAAAGCCCAGGCGTGACGGTAGCAAGGCCGTGGTGCTGGAGATGCTGGCACCCTTGGGACATTCTGGGCCCAATATGCACCAGTGATGGATAGTCACAACTTTCCCATGATCTCCAGTCGAAGGTTGTGGACTATGATACCCCGTGACCTGCTTTTAGAAAATGCACAAACCTGTCAATACACAAACCTAGCTCTTGAATCACTGGGCACAGTTGGGGCCGGGGAAAAAGCATGGTGACCTGAGCATCTCTCTGGTGTCAGCGCACACAGTTAAAGCCTGTTGCTGCTGATGGTGTTGCCTTCTCTTACTGTAGATTACCTCTCATGTTTCTGCTCTGGGTCATTCGCTTTGGTATGACTGGCAGTTCACTCTTTAGAGCCTTGGGCAGAGAGGAACCTGAGAACTCTGGGCTTCCTGTGCCTTCCTGTGGCTTCCTTTCATCGGTTGACAGGCTTTGTGTGCGTGCTACATGCCACCCACTGCACTGGGTCAATGAGGGCTGCCGCAGAATGCTGCAAGCCAGCGCTGCATGTCTCCGGGTCTTCTTAGCAACGCCTTTTTACTGCTGAGGAAATGGAAGGCATGAGTTAAATGGATTCCCCACCCAGAGCTCTTTAGGGTCAGTTTAGAGTTAAAATGTTAGAGAAGGTGCTTGCCTCTGGTTGATTCTCTGTCACATTAAGTCAAAGTGAAATCCTTCCCACATGAGTGCCTCAGGCCTTCTTCCAGGGAGCCCTTCCTAACGCGCTTGCTCTCTCCAGGTGTCGACTTTAAGATGAAGACCATCGAAGTAGATGGCATCAAAGTACGGATACAGATTTGGTGAGTTGGGCAGCAGGAGGAGGCAGGTAAAGGGGGGGGGGCCTCTGAGCTGTGCCTGAGTGCCACTGTCTTTTGTAAAATCCTCTAAGCTTTATCTGGGATAACTGGGTATATCTCTATGAAGAGTGAGATCAGAAACCCCTACTCCTTGTTCTATGAACCTTAATCTCAGCAAACTATGGGAGTCACCAAAGGGAATAAGTTAGAAGCCGTTAGTAAAATAAATGCCCTGGGCTTATCTCTGAATTGGGCTTTACTCTGGAGCTGTACCACTGTGGCTAAGCCTGCAAGGCTGATGGCAGGCTTAGAGTGGGACTGTTTTGTTTTGTTTTGTTTTGTTTTGTTTTGTTTTTCAGAGCGCCTCTGTACTACACGATGCAGTTTCCACTACTAGCCACCAGGGGCTGCTGTGGCTTTCTGGCCTCAAGGTCTTGGGAGCCCTTACAGTTATGGTGCTACCTCCCAGTCCCAGAACCCCATGGGAGCTGCCTTTAGTAATGTCCTGGGCACCGAGTGTGGGACAGATCCTCCCATCTGTCCAAGCATGGCCACAGTGGCTGAGTTCTGGAGAAGCTGTCTATGGTCTGGTCAGGTTGTGGGTCCTGAGGAGAGGCCAAGACCCTGCTGGCCTTGTCTATGCCCATACCTAGGACCAGGCCTGCCTCACACTGCAGACTCAGGTGTATTTGGATACTCTTGGGGATTAGAGAACTACTAAATTTTCATCCTAAAATCCCCCAGCTTTTCCTCCTAAGGCACCGGGGAATCCTAGCTCCTGCTACTCCTTCATCTTCTGTCTTCCTGGTCCCTTCTCTGAGCAACTGGCTTTCTCTTGCAGGGACACAGCAGGGCAGGAGAGGTACCAGACCATCACAAAACAGTATTATCGGCGGGCCCAGGTGAGCCACCATTTCAGGGTTAGAGCTGGAAAGCTGCTCTCCACACTTCTAGCACTGAATTGCCTGCTGGGTAAACTCCGTTTTCCACTATTTGCTCTGCAGTTATCCACAGGCTGTAGCTGGGTTCTTCACCCTCACAACCTCCACTCTTGACCCCTTACACCAAGCCACAGGCCCAGGTCAAATCATGCCATACCTTCCTTCCTATCTAAGAATTCCATGAAGAAGCTGGGCGGCGGGGATGCACACCTTTAGTCCCAGTACTTAGGGAGGCCGAGACAGGCTGATCTCTGTGAGTTCAAGGCCAGCCTGGTCTACTGAGGGAGTTCCAGGACAGATTCCAAAGCTACAAAGAAACACTGTCTCAAAAACAACCACAACAACAAAGTAAAGAATCCCATGATGGGCCTGCAGAGTAGCAGCTATGAACATCTGAGGGAAAGGAAGCATGTCTGTGTGTTGAGGGGCCCTCATTATAGGCAGGAAGAGGGGAGAGTAGGCTGGGCATATAAGGGCCACCAGTCTGGCCCCATGACAGTACATTTTACTGAGTTTGTCTCTCTTTTTCTCCCTCTTTCCCAGGGAATATTTTTAGTCTATGACATTAGCAGTGAGCGCTCTTATCAGCACATCATGAAGTGGGTCAGTGACGTGGATGAGGTAGGAGATGCCACCTCGCTGATGGGATGGGGGGAGGGTACCTCAGAGGAAGGCAAAACAAGGGCCTTGGCAATAAAACAAGCTCTCCGTGTTGGCCAAAACAATCTTGCCTTTTACAACTTTGGATAGAGGTCTTTGGGTAAGTCATGTGAAAAAAGCCGAAGCTTCCGTACCCTTATGTATTATACCCTTCTAGGATCTGGAAGCAATGTCTTTCTTGGACATGCATCAGTCCTGAGACTGCCTCAAGAGTAGCTTCTTTCTCAAAACCTTAGGTGCAGATGGAATTACAAGTCTGGGCTACTAGATCTGCACGTAGTGGAGCCTTGGCAAGCTATTTCAGCTCCTTGGGTCCCCAATCCCTCATCTGTCAAGTAAAGTCTAGACCAAGTCCAGTGTCCTTTGCAGTTACAACAACATTTGTTCAACCCAATGAGGCATCTGTTTTAGCATCTTCTACCCTAAGCTGTCCCTGTGACATTCTTAGGGTCAACCATGGTATTACAGTCCCCATGACATTCCATTCCCCATGGAAGCTGAGAAGTACAGATAGTACCAAACCCTTATATGCTGGCTTTCCCTAGTCTTGAATATCTGTGACAAAATATATAAATTAGACACGGTAAAAAAAAATCAACAGTAATAATAGCAAAATTGCAATGTGATATAATAAAAGTTACTTATGAATCATTTATTTTGCATTTAATATGTTTAGATGAAGGCTGACTGATGGTAATAAATTGTGGGGACAGGGGCTCCTGTGTGCTGGGAGTCAGCCTCCATCTTGAACTTGGTGGTATGGAGGGTGGTGGAGACCGTATGGGGAGGCTGGGAATGAAGAGGCGCGCTACTTAGGCCTGCCTCCATTTTGTCCGTAGTATGCACCCGAAGGCGTCCAGAAGATCCTCATAGGGAATAAGGCTGATGAAGAGCAGAAACGGCAGGTGGGAAGAGAGCAGGGGCAGCAGGTATGTGAAGTCCCACTCTGGGGCCTCTGTGGCACTTGCCGGCCTGTCCTGGGAGCGGTGCCCCTCACACATGCAGCACTGGGGAGCTGACAACTTTGAGAGATTGCTTTCTGATCCTCAGGACATGACCAGGGTCCCCATAGCAGCGGGGGCAGGAGGGAGACAGGACTCATGGGAAGGAGAGGGGGGACAGGACTGGTGTAAGGAAGGGTCTCCCACCCCACCCTCTCCACACCCTGACTTCCTGACTCCACATGCCTGGAAAGTGTGGGAATGAAGAGTCCCAGGACAGACAAGCATCAGGACAGAGAGGGTCAAAGCATAACCAAGTGTGCAGGGAGACCATATTCCCACACGACAGAAGGATTGATATTCCGAGGCAAGACTCATCCACCCACTCTGGGCGCCTCCAGAGTTTTTCTCTTCCTCTTTAGTCAATAGCATTCCATTAGAATGTAAAATAAAATTGATTGAGGGGGCATAACAAATAATATAACGTCATTAAAATGCGAAAGTGGAGACAAACCCTACAAGAGTAGCAGTTTTTATCGAGCAATACCCATGTAGCTCTTAGCTATGTGGCCCCGTTTAATCATCCCATAACCCTTGATGCAGACACAACCATTCCCCTTTAGTAGAGGCTGATGCTGTGGCTTGGAGAGAATGGTAATAGTAGCTTGTTCTGGGTCTTATAGCTCCTGGTGGTAGCTGGGCACCTAGACTGGCTTGGTTGCACTCAAAGCCCATGTTTGTCATTTATGTGCCATATGCTGTTGTCTTTGTGTCCTGATGTAGTGGGGTGTGTTTGTGTGTGTGTGTGTGCATGCCTGTGTGTGTGCGCGTGCGTGCATGCCTGTGTGCGCGCGTGCATGCGCGCATGTGTGTGTGTGTGTGTGTGTGTGTGTTGAGACTTGAATGGAATGGTGTATTGGTGAGACAGCTTATCCCATCCTATGCCAGCCTATGTCTTAGGAAGTGCCCCAGTTTCCCATTTGAGTCACTATATCACTGCTATGTCAGAGGCACATCCCAGGCGGTATGGGCCTCCCTCCCCTCACTGAGTCTCTTTCAGAAATGCCCTTGTCTTGCAGCTGGCTAAGGAGTATGGCATGGACTTTTACGAAACAAGTGCCTGCACCAACCTCAACATTAAAGAGGTGAGAACCCTGGGGGGGGGGGGGGGGTGCTGCCCTGTCTCTGGCTGAGCCCAGAAGAGGGGGTGGGTGAGATGGCCGACAGGAGCCAAGAGACGATGAGAGACCGCCTTCCACCTTGGGCAGTGGCGGGGTTACCAGAAGCAGAGAAGGGGACACTGGACTAACTTATATTCCTTGGCTTCCCAGTCCTTCACTCGTCTGACGGAGCTGGTGCTGCAGGCCCACAGGAAAGAGCTGGATGGTCTCCGAACACGTGCCAGCAATGAGCTAGCATTGGCAGAGCTAGAGGAAGAGGAAGGCAAAGCTGAGGGCCCAGCGAACTCTCCAAAGACCTGCTGGTGCTGAGGGTCCTGTGTGGAATCCGGCCCCTGAAACTCCCTTCCCTCAGGAGGCCTGTGGAAGCAGGGGAGCCTGGACTTTGCCTACTGCTGTCCCTACATTTGATGACCCTGTTGAAATCAGTAGCTGCTACTCCCCTGCCTGGCCCTGCGAGCAGCTCTGCTACGGCCTCCCTCCGAGCAGCCTGTGCCCCCCAGCCCCTCTACCCTGGGGTGGCAGCCTTTAGCTCATGTCCCAGCCACAGGCCTGCTGTGATCCCAGAATGTGCTGTGACCATCTCACCACCCCAAGCTCCTGGGACAACGGTCAAGGCTGGAGTCAAGGCCACTTAAAGACTCATTTCTTAGTGCATCTGTATACTCTGCTTTTTCTCCACCTACTTCCCTCCAGTGTATTCTGCATCCGCGTCTCTCTCCTCCTCCTCTGCCTGTGTGTCCTGCCCATAGCTGCTATTGCAGTCCCTCCCTCCTTTCCTCTCTCCCTCCCTCCCTCCCTTCCTTCCAGACTCTGCCTAAGGGAATGGTCCGAGGCTGTGCCCCAGGGAAGGATGGCCCACCCTGCTCTGGGTGGGACAAAGGCTCAGGGTGCTTCCTCTCCCCTCCCCATAGCCCCTCCTTGTGCCATGGGCTGCCTCCCCAGTGACCTGGGAAAGTAGAATGCTGAGGTGGGAAGGGAACACTACTCATTGGTCCTCAGGCCTGGGCTGGCCTCCTCTGCCTTTGCCTACAGACCTGTGAGGAGTCCCGAGGCAGGGAAGAAAACCTAAGGATGAGGGGTGGCAAGGACAAGTCACCTCTATTCTCTACCTCCCATGCAGAGTACATGACCTCTTCACCTGGATTCCTGAATTTAAAGATGGAGATCAGGGCCTGAGGACGCTAAAGGGAAGGGGGAGTCCTGGGGTCAGACACTGTAAGCTCTAGAAAAAAGCAAAAGCAGTTGTGAAGGGCTCGCTCCTAGATGGTAAGGTTACAAAAAAGGCAGAGGGCACTTCATGAAACTGATGGCTGTGGTGGCAGCAGGGCCTCTTGTGTAAGAACATTTACCCAGGTGAGAAGTGACGTAGCCACGACGTCACTATTCTTTCGTCGAACCTGGCCTTCAGGAGTTGTTTTTCCTGGGTTCCAGAGTCTGTGGGCCTTAAAAACAGGGAGCGAGGGCAGCCGTGGGCAGAAGGACTTGGTGCCGGCCGGCCTGCCTTCCAGGACTCCCTCCTCTTGCCCCCTTATTAAGCAGGCATTGCTGAGTAACTACCAAGGGAGGGAAAAGGGCGCCCTCCTCCAGAGGTCTACGCTCAGGAAGTTTCTTTAACCCCGTGGGCCAAGGGTAGTTTGAAGGAGTCCCCTACAACAAGGAAAAAAAAAAACCCATGCTAGGGGTCATTCTTATATTCCCAAGGTGGGAGGAGCTCAGGTAAGAGAAGAGTCCCAAGATGCACTGCGTGGCTGGGGCTGGAGCCAAAGCCAGGAAAAAAACTGGGCCCTGACTGAGCTTTCGCCAGCCAAGGACCTTTTGGATCCTGGGCACAGATGTGAAGACAAGGAGCCTTATACCCTTTCAGTCCTCCTAAATGGGGGGTTGGGGATGGAATCACTGGAAATTTCTTCCTGACTTAGCAAACCAGGAAACAGGTGACAAAGGCTTTCTGGTGGAGGGAAAGCAAGAGCAGGAATGGTGCATTGTTCGCTGAGAAAGGTAGAGAGCTGGCTCTGAGACGGGACCCTGACTGACTGACTCCTGGGCAGCGAGATTGAGGTGGCATTACACAGGAGGTGAATAGAATGCCTTCAGCCAGGGATCTGAGAGACTTTACACAGGGCACCGGGTCTCACCTGTGGCAAGTGTCACTGTCCTGTTGTCCCAGCCCCTCAAGAAAGTACCCTAAGGGTTCTGGAAGGGAAAACATGGGGTTGGGGTTCTGTGGGCTCCGAGCCATGGTCACAGCTCTGAAGTGTGGCAGCAGGATGGCTGGGATTTTGGGGTGCGCCTGTGCTCACTCCGTTCTGGATTTGGGCTGTGTCATGGCCTTGACTGTTCAGCAGGCCTTCCTGGCCTGCCTGCCCATTTCTGGAGATCAGCTCACCCTGGTCCGCCACCTGAGCCCCGTATCTTCCTGGGATGGGTGAACTTTGTGCACTGTGTCTTGGGTCCAGTATATGAATTGTGAGCAGGGTTCATTTATTTTAAACACAAATGTTTACAAATAAAGAATATTTCAAACCACAGGTGTGTGTACCTGTGTGAATCTCCAGGGGAAAGTATTGTTGAAGACCCGCAGAGTGTGGACCTTCATGCTCCCACTCAGGAAAGGCGACACCCCAAATCACTCACGAGAAGTGGTCTTGATGTAAAAGCATGAGGTCTTTTATATTCCAAGTGCACTGGGGTCCACAGTCATGCGCCACGCAGGGGTAGAGGACTGAGGACCCTGAGTACAGAATTGAGACAGCTTTTATAGGGTTACAACAAAGCCCGAACATTGTAAACCAATCCAAGCCGGCGCTTTATAGACCAATCAATTTTCTATAGCCCTGGAGGTCTGCATTTGTGCAGGCTCCTAGGTGGGGTGACAAATGGCAGTTAGGTTAGGTCACTGGGGTGCGGGTTTCACAAGTAGTTACAAAGTCAGGTAAGCGGAGTATGACCATTCACCTATTTACTGGCTGAGGGCAGGGTCTGGAATTTAAGGTATTTAGTATTTTTAAACTTCTAGCTTCCTGGGGTCATTGGAGAGTTAGGCTGTATTTTTCCATCCTTATAGTAGTGACATAGGAGGCAGAGTGAAAGACAGACACAGAAGAGGCCCCAGAATCTTAAAGGCACAGTGGAACAACAAAGGAAGTGTTGATCTTGGTCTGTCTTCCTAGTGACACCTGCAGAAGGGCCCAAAGCAAAACCCCCACTGTCCTGTTGTGAGCTTACACGAGCAGGGTTCAGACTTAGGAGGCTGAACATCAGAGGGATCTTTAAAACCAGAATGGTGGCCATCTGTTGTCAATCAATCAGGAAGGTCCTTCCTGAAGGCATTAGGGAGGGTTGGGTAATACTTCAGGTTGTCATTGGATACCCCATGGAGCAGAAGCAGATTGGAACCTAGGAAGATGAGGTGTTGGGGACATGGAGATGCTGGAGATAGCTGATGGAAGTGTGGGTGGAATGAAGAAGCCAGGAAGAAAACAGCAGGGCAATGGTAGTCCTGAATCTCCACTGCACTCCAGAGAGCACGTTCCATACTCCAGAACAAGTTACTGAGTGGAAGGGAGTGGTTATGAGTTCAACAGATAAGGAAACGGGTTCTCAGCGAGCTTTAAAGACTTGACCAAGGGCCCAAGAAAACAACAGTTACGACTAAACACCAGTGCCATGCATGCTCCAGAGTCTAGAGTCTAAATGGAAAAGCTTTAGAATATCTATCCAGAAAAATTTCTATAAGCAATTCTCTTGCAGTCAGAACCCAGAACCACCCACCTAGGCTTTTCTGCCTACTAAGACTTGGAACAATTGCTGTTACAAAAAGCCATAGGGGAGACTCTTTAGTGTGTACCCAAAGTTAGAACTTCTGGAAAGGGGCAGTGTGTATACCTGGACCCAGTATTTTAGGAATATCTCACCAGTGTTACTCAACTGTGAAAAGTGAGCATCCAGTAGACCAGTGAGGGCTCTAGATTTTCTTGGAGAAAATGAAGTATGAACCCATTCCTCACTCAAGACTCATGACATGCTTGAAGAGGGCCCTCAAAGGGAAGCAAACAAAAGGCATCTCTCTCTTTGGAAGCCCAGGCTGCTGGAGAAAGCTCTAGACGACAGAGAGAAACCTGGAAAGTTACTATCAAGTTCTCATTTTCGTCATTGCCAAGTCCTTCTGACTGCATAGCTTGGTAGGGACACCTGCTGGCTATATCCAAGGACTTTGTGCAGTTCCAGAAGAAGACCTAACTTCCTGCCACCATCCCTGGCATCACAAGACTTTATTTCCACTTGGCTAATGGAAACTTGTTTTTAGGGGACTGTCAGCTGAGACTATGATTCCTACACTTTGTTTGTTTGAGACAGGGTTTCCCTGTGGCTTTGGGGGCTGTCCTGGAAATCGCTCTTGTAGACCAGGCTGAACTCACAAAGATGTACCTGCCTCTGCCTTCCGAGTGCTGGGATTAAAGGTGTGCACCACCACCCGGCTGATTCCCACACTCTTAAACACTTGTAGAACAAGCACGAGGCAAAACTAATGAGAACTCCTGGCAAGTAATTTATTTGTCTCTCAACAAATCAGATTGTGAAGACTAGTTGCTCCCAATGGATAGGTAATTATGAAAATACCCTCTGGAGGCTGGGTGGTGGTGCATGTGTTTAATCCCAGCACTTGGGAAGCAGAGGCAGGAAGATCTCTGTGATTTCGTGGCCAGTCTGGTCTACAGAGCAAGTTCCAGGACAGCCGGGGATGGTATACAGAAACCCTGATTGTTAGTTGTACTGGAGGAGAAATCAAGTGGCCAATGCTTGAATAATTGAGTGGCTGCAATAAGGGTCTTTTCAGCTGCTAGAGTGAGCCCAGATGACAGCAGCCAAAGACATCTGCCATACACTAGTGGCTGGCTTTGAGACATCACGGTAACCTAATTGGGACCATAGCTGTTTTGCCTTCCTCCTGTGAGGAAATCATCACACACAGATGCCTTAGTCTTGAAAATCTCAGAGACTGAACCTTTGCTTGAAAGGGAGATAGGTTCAATCCGTCTACTCAGAATTTACCATCCATCCTGAGCCTCCTCCAGATCACTATGCCGGCGGTACTGCTCCATCCATCCTCATGACTGCTGGAATGGAGGTGGGGGGTTCTAATGTAGGGCATGGTACAGTGTGGGCACAGAGACCTCAGTGTTCTCCAGGACAGGAACCCCACTCACTGAAAGGCTTTCTAAAACAAGCACAACTTCATCCCTTCTGACTGATGCAAACTGAGGCATTAGAAGTCCTTGCTTCTAGGGAATGACACACTCTCCTCCCAAGGGTCCCTGATTCTGCTTTAGACAGCACAGAGACATAAAAAGTAGTATACCATCTTTCCATCATCATCTGAGTCAAGTGGACATCAGCCCCAATTCAGACCCCTCAGAGACTGATGCTCAATAAATGTGTTTTACCAATGTCTGTGCCAGGTAAAAACAACTTGCTAGGGCAAACAGGAGTCAATCTTGCATGCTCCCTCCCTTTTTTTCCTCCCCATTTGACCTTTAAGTCTCTGGTTTCCAGCAAGGAGTGAATTATTCACATCCGCTCATAGATATCAAATTGGCCCTTTCCAAGCTGCCAGTGGGGTGGGACAGAAGGTGGCTTTGTTCAGAGACTGTAAATAGGCAGGGCCACAGCCTTGTTCAAACAGAATGCAGGTGGGTGCCCGTTTTCACTAAATCATCCTAGAAATGCTCAAGGGCATCTGGTGAAATCCTTTCTTGTCTTTCCTGGCTCCTCCTTCCTCCCCGCCCATTCAACCGACTTAAGTGGGCCCCCACACCTGGGCAGGACTCACTTTGACTCACCATGGCTTACATCGCCAAGTCGTTCTATGATCTCAGTGCCATCAGCTTGGATGGGGAGAAGATAGATTTTAACACATTCCGAGGCAGGGCAGTGCTGATTGAGAATGTCGCATCACTCTGAGGAACAACTACCAGAGACTTCAACCAGCTCAATGAACTGCAATGTCGCTTTCCCAGGCGCCTGGTGGTTCTCGGCTTCCCTTGCAACCAATTTGGACATCAGGTGAGGAGTCCCTGGGGTTTTTCCCAAGTTGACTGATGGAGCTTGAGGGAGATAAAGATGGGGGTGTGTGTGTGAATTGTGTCTGGAATTGAATGGCATGCTTGATCAGTCTAGGTCTAGGTGAGTGTGAAATACCACAGGGAGTAGATATGCTCTGAGATGAAATACAGAGAGTGTAACTTTTTTTTATTGCCTTTCCAGAATATCCTATGAAGGTTGCTACCAGGTCTCTCCATTGTGTCTTTGCTGGGTGATTCATTAATTATTTGTTGAGTGAATAAGTGGAGAAAATAGAAGGTTAAGATTCAAACTAAGCTGGCATGGTAGAGCATTCCTGTAATCCTAGGAAGGCAGTGGGAGATGGAGGCACAGGACTGATGTGGGTTTGAGGCTAAATGGGGCTACACAGCAAAGCCTCATCTCAAAAAGCAGCCTGCTAATACTGCTCAGTTGGTAGAGTACTTGCCTAGCATATAAAAAACTGTGGGTTTGATCCCCAGCATTGCATAAACCGGCTGGGAAGGCTTTTATAACCCCAGCACTTGGGAAATGGAGGCAGGAAGATAAGAAATTAAAGGTGATCCTCTGACTATGGCTAGTTCGAAGCCAGCCTGGCCTGGAGAAGTTGTCTCAGACAAACAAACAACTGGGATTAAGCTGATGAGTTCTTGGGAGCCTTTAGTTCCTGCAGCCATAGTTCTACACTTTAATGGCTCTGATGTCTGTCCTTGAAGGATGCACCTAGTTTTCTGTTTGAATCTCCTCATCTGGTGACTTAATATAAGTTGACTTAGCTCATAGGTTTATTGTGATGCTCATGGAATAGACACCTGGAAGTAACTAGAAAGATGTAAGGTAGTATGGGAATATAAACCATTTGATTATCTGAATTAAAGGCTTGTTTTTTTATCAGCAGATTGGAAAGGGGACATGGGAGAAGAGAAAGGTCTGTGGCACGTGTATGCCTGCCCTGGACATCACATGCACCTGTCTGTCTCTGAGTGATGGGTCGAGTTGTTACAGAACTTCAGCCCATACATCTCCAGCCTTTTAGGGATTCTGTTTCTCCTTAGGATTTAACTGTATGAAGGAAACAGGTGTTCCTAAGTGGACTGTCTAATAGAGTCCCCTCAGTTCAACTCACAGTGGCAGGAAGTTACGTAAGGAAGGACTGGCAGAGATAGACACAGGAAGGATGACTGTGATAAACCAGAGGCTCAGCTTCATTCTGCTCATGGGTCCTTCCCTCTCCAGTCTCTTCGACTTTGCCTGAAAGGGCAGGGCCTCACCACATCCCTGGAGGTGCCTCTGACCTTACACCTCACTGTGGCTGGCTGGCTGCTGGAAGGAGTCATTGGCAGTGAAGAGATAAGAAGTCTAGTGGAGATCAGCTGGGGCTCAGAGATGGCAGGATGGCCTGGACCGACTGTGCTAGTAGTTCTAGTAGACCAGAGGCAGGCACAGAGGGAGCGGGAGCTAGTTGGCTCTTAGCCTGGAGAGGACGGGTGAGAAATACAGGTTCTCACTGGCATTTGGGATGGGGCAGGACAATGGTGGTATGGGGAAGGAAAAATGGAATACAGTGAATGAAGAGGAAGTTCAAGGGTCCTGTAGACAGCCGTTTAGAAATAAAAGGAGTAATTACATACCCAGTCATTGTCCTAAGTACTTAACTGCTTAACAACCTCCCCAACCCCATTCTAGAGCAGTCACCGGCTACCCTGTTGGTTACTAAGTGGTTCCATTTAGAGTGCATTCACCGTTGTCACTAACTTCCTTTGCCTCAGTGAAACTCCCTTGGAAGGGGTCTTTTCTTCATCAAAGTGTCCTCCTGTTTGCATTTTAGATCTAGGACAAGGAAGGAGGAAAGCTGGCAGGAGTAACTGTCACTCACCTGGGTCTTGCTTTCACCCTTGACTCGTGAGCTGCTCAGGTCACAGGCAAAGGATGCACTCGACATACACAGAAGCAGAAGGGAGCTGAACCAGGGCAGAGGAAAGGAAAAATGGTAGTAGGAAGAGCATGCATGCATGAGTGTGTGCGTGCGTGCGTAGACCTCCCACGTGGTGGGAGAAGAGAACCAAATTCTGCAGGTTGTTCTCTGACCTCTACTTGTGCAACACAGCACTCATGATATGTGTACACACACACACTATAAAATAAAGGTAAAATACAAAAAGCCCAAAAACAAAAAAACTCAACAACACAATGCCTGGGAGAGAGTAAGGCAAGGCAAGGCAAGTGGAGAAGAAACACACATACAAGGAACACATGCTTGCACACACAAAGGAAGGAAGGGAGGAAGAGTTGGAGAAGGAAAGATTTGCACTGGAGAATCCTTGGTTTCCTCTTCATTTTCCCTCCGATCTTTGTCTTCTCCAGGAGAACTGTCAGAACGAGGAAATCCTGAACAGCCTCAAGTATGTCCGCCCTGGAGGTGGGTACCAACCCACCTTCAGTCTTACGCAAAAGTGTGAGGTCAACGGGCAGAACCAGCATCCTGTCTTTGCCTACCTGAAAGACAAGCTGCCCTATCCTTATGATGACCCGTTCTCCCTCATGACCGATCCCAAGCTCATCATCTGGAGTCCCGTGCGCCGCTCAGATGTGTCCTGGAACTTTGAGAAGTTCCTCATAGGGCCAGAGGGGGAGCCATTCCGTCGCTACAGCCGCACCTTCCAAACCATCAACATCGAGCCTGACATCAAACGTCTCCTCAAAGTTGCCATCTAGATGTAAGCTGCTTGGCCTAGGAATCCCCAAGTATTCTTCCTCGGGACTCAGTGTACCCTTGGGAGACACCGGGGGACTGAAAGGTCCCCTTCGCTGGAGCACCGTGCCTTCCCTGCCTGATTCCTTTGGCTCTTAAGGAACCACTTGGGGCTCTAAGTCTGGGATAGGCTCTAGGCTTTCACAGAATGACGGCACCTTCCTAAACCCAAATGGGGGATGTCTGAGAAGTTGTGAAGTGCCCAGGGACAGCCTGCTATAGAGTCCAATAAAGGGCAGGTGTGGAAATGCCTGGGTCTTTGTATCTTCCTTCCTAAAAATTCCACGCATCTTATTTCACTCTGTGTATGTGTGGAGGGCAGGGGACAACTTTGGCGGATTGTTTCTCTCCTTCTACCTTGGGCTCCAGGGATGGAACTCGGGTCCCTGGGCTTGTGCCTTCTTTCTTGAGAGAGGTGGAGGGGTGTAAGGGCTGGTGCAGTGGAGGGGCTGGAAACACACTAAGGTTTGGGAGAGGGGGCTCTGATCAAAGGGGCACCCCAATTACTACTGTCTGCACTAGGTGGCAGTCAAGGTGTGCAGTAACCGTTAGAGTTGTAGTAAATGTGAATTTATCATGTCATGGCTCTCACAGAACCGAGCAAAAAGAGGAAGTAATAAAACGGGATAAAGAGAAGAAAAAGACAGCAGGCCCTTTGGCTGAGTGCACTGGATGTTAGCCTACAAATCAGGAAGACATCTCATCACTGTGGGTTCTAGAATGATTAAACATTAACTGGGTATACAAAGTGCAGTTACCAGGAACACAAAAGGCACATTGTCCTCTTCTTGACCACTTTGTTAAATTTAAATTTCCTAAAATTAAATTGTGTGTGTGCATATTCACACGCATGCATATGCATACACACACACACACGTATGTGCTGTGGCGTGTGGAGGTCAGACACATCTTGCAGTCTCCCTCTACCAGGTGGGTCCAGGAATTGAAATCAGATCATGAGGCTTATAAACACACAAGTTCATGTTCTGCCTTTGTTCTTCTCAAGCTTGTACACTCACAAATCCAGGCACAAGGCAAACAAATAGGAGCATGGATGAATTCTTGAGTTAATGTCTTCCATGAAGGTGGGGGAAGAAGAGGACAGAGGCATGATTGCATTTACTTCCTCCATGAGTATGGGGACACAGACACAGACACACACACACACCTTAGAGCAGTGCTTCTCAAACTGTGGGTTGTGACCCCTAGGTTGAATGACCCTTTCCCAGGGATTGCAAATCAGATATCCTGCATATCAGACATGTACATTAAGATCCATAACAGTAGGCTGGTAGTGATGGCACATGCCTTTAATCCCAGCACTCAGGAGGCAGAGGCAGGTGAATTTCTGAGTTCAGGGCCAATCTTATCTACAAGGTGAGTTCCAGGACAGGCTCCAAAGCTACACAGAGAAACCCTGCCTGGGGGAAAAAAAAGAGATTCATAACAGTAGCAAATTTAGTAATAAAGTAGCAATGAAAATAATTTATGGGTGGGGTCACCATAGCATGAAGAACTGAATTTAAGGGTTGCAGCAGTAGGAAGGTTGAGAACCACTGCCGTAGAGATTGAGTTTATAATATGCCCACGTGATTGGCACTCACTGTGAGGACAGGTGTGTCAAATGGCTTTGTCAGGACACTCAGGTTCCTGGTCTGGTGCAAGCACATTCAAAAAGGACCACCACCACCAGACACAGGGTCTGTCATGCTCTGGAGAAGGTTCCTTCCTCTTATGTTTTCCCCTTTGGCCACTAGATGGAACCACTCTGTCTTAAAGCTTAAAGGAATGGTTCTCCAAATCAGACACCCTGCTAAAGAATGCCAGTGCCGCTGCTGGTCTCCCTTTCATCCGCTCCTCCTAATCAATCCCAAGCACTTAACTCATCTGAGGAGCAGGTGTGGGGCTGAGGCAAATGATGCTGTCGCTGACAGTGCTTCATGTCAAAGGGGTAACCTGAGTGTTAGAGTGGGAATTCCCAGGCATCCTTCTGAGAGACCTCCTGTCAAAGCCAGGCTGCCCTCAGCTTGACTCTGGAAAATTCAGCCCCTTGGACTGCTTATCTTAAAGCCAGCAGCTGGGGTGTACATTCTTTTGCAGAAGGGCCATGCTAATTTTAGAGAAGTAACGACTGAGACAAATTCTTTCCCTGATGAAATGGGATAAGGCATGCGTGCAGGATACTACTATGGATGTTTTTCATCATCTTGATGGTACCCATTGCATCTCCAACAGACAGTTATCCTGGATGCCTGGCTAGCCCGGAGGTTGGCATTATGCCACTGGCAATTTAGGGTGCAATATGCCACACAGCGTGTTGCATCTCTTCTAGGTGGCTCAAACTAAATGAGTAATTTAGGGATTCTAGAAGAATTGGAATTTTAGTATAAATAATTTTACACAGAGTCAGGAGGGGCAAAAAAAAAAAAATGGTAGGAAGTGGGTTCTTACTTAGGCAGAGGTAATGCTGTTTGCTTCAGGCAGGATCTGACCAGCTTTTCTCAGAAGGGGACAGAGAGGCAGGATGACCTTCCATGATGTTATTGTTAAAGTCAAAGTAAGGGTTGTTTTCCTTCTTACCTTATCTCATTTGCCCATGATGTCCTCAGAAGTGGCAGCTTAAGGCCATCAGCAGGTAAGATAAAGACATAATGGAATCACCCTACTTTCCTGAATAAACAAAATCTTTTAATCAAAAATTTCAGAGGACACTCAGGAGTAGGAGTCTCATTAATAGGCTCTGGCGGAAGTGCTGAGGTAATGTTGCTTGATATAGAGGAATGCCGGGCTTGCTTCCAAGCGCTCTCCACTGAGGAGCTCAGGAGTGACTTTTGGGGACCAAGATATACAGACTGAAATGGGTGGCTATGACTTACACTGTTTATAACTGTGTCCCACAGCTACATCTTTTTAAATGTTTTTCTTTCAATTTTATGTGCATTCCTGTTTTGCCATGGGTTACACAGTTGTGAGCTGCCATGTGGGTGCTGAGAACTGAACCTGGGTCCTCCTGAAGAACAGTCAGGGCTCTTAAAACACTCAGCCATCTCTCCAACCCCCCACAGCTTATATTAACAAACACTGAGCCAAACTCTAGAACTTTCTGATAAACATCATTAGCCACTATAATCAAAATATCAGTAACTGAAATTAACTATGTTCACATACTGCATCAAGAACTTTTTTGTTTGTTTGTTTGGTTTTTGGAGACAGGGTTTTTCTGTATTGTTTTGGAGTCTGTCCTGGAACTAGCTCTGTAGACCAGGTGGCCTCGAACTCACAGAGATCCACCTGCCTCTGTCTCCCAAGTACTGGGATTAATGCATGTGCCACCAATGCCTGGCCACATCAAGAACTTTATATGCATTTTTCACATGGACTCCAAAGGAATTCTCTCTCTGGAGAGAGAGGGTAGTAGGATGTATTAGCTGTACTACAACCTTTAGGCCATTCTAATAAATCCCTTTCTTTCTTTCTATAGACTCATCCTGTAAGCTTGGTCATCCAGAAGGACCCAAAGGCCTTTTGAAGACACAGTTACAGCACAAATTGCATCGCAGCAGCCGGGAGAGCTGAGCCAGCGTTCCCCAGAAAGTGGAATATACTTTAAATCCAATATATAGTACTGTTGCTCCCATAGCCAGGATCCACAGGCCCAAGAATCAAGGGGTGGGAAGGGGAATAGTTTCACTCACTATCACCCCTAGTGACCCACTTGAAAAATTTTTTACTTTCTGTTCCTTCAACCTTAAGGTCTAGTGGCCTAGAATTTTGGTTCCAGAGAGGGGAGTACTCCTGCCAGGAGCCACAACATTCCATTGAATTGGAAGCTCACATTTCCCCCAAGTCACTTGGAGCTTCTGATACCCTTAAGCCAACAGGCTAAGAAAGGAGGGTTGTGACTGATTCAGATTACCAAGGGCGAAATTGAATTGCTTCTCTACAATGGAGGTAAGAAAGATTATGTCTGGAATGCAGGAGATCCTTTAGGGTAGTGGTTCTCAACCTGTGGGTTGCAACCCCTTTGGAGTTACATAGAAGAAGTCCTACATATCAGATATTTACATTACAATTCATAACAGTAGCAAAATTACAGTTATGAAGTAGCAACGAATTGCTTTTATGATTGGGGTCACCACAACATGAGGAACTGCATTAAAGGGCTGCAGCATCAGGAAGGTTAAGAACCCTGCTTTAGGGAGTCTCTTGATGCTACCATGTCCTGGGATTAAAATCAATGGGAAACTCTAACAACATAATCCAGGCATGATGACAAAGGGCACAGACCCTTCAGAAATGGGTCACTCCTCCAGAAAAAGAGTCAAGATTGGCTGAGGTGAAGGAAATACAAAATGGTATCTTAGGGTTTCTATTGCTGTGAAGAGACACTATGAACACAGCAACTCTTATGAAGAAAAACATTTAATAGAGGTGGCGGCTTACAGTTTCAGAGATTCAGTCCATTATAATCAGGGCAGGACAGGGCCGCAGGCAGGCAGACGTGGTGCTGGTTATATCTTGATCAAAAGGCAACAGGAAAGTGGACTCAGACACTAGGTGTTATCTTGAGCATAGGAAACCTCAAAGCCCACCCCCAGTGACACACTTCCTCCAACAAAGCCACGCCTAATAGTGCCACTCCCTGAGTTATGGGGACGTTACATCAAACCACCACAAGTGGGTAGTAGAGGAAGACAGTTACAAATACCAGCTAAGGTCATGTGACCAGTGGCAGAAATGAGGAGTATAATTGACATTAGTGTTTGTCATAGTTTGTTAGAATTCATTTATACAGATATTTTTGTTTTCTTTAGGTGCACACACACACACACACACACACACACACACACACACACACACACACTGTTCTGCTCCTCTGGAGAACCCTAATATACTGGGTAAGACAGCTACTGAGGATAAAGAGTTGGAAGCTGAAGTCTTCAACATAGTGAGGTCCTGGTCAAAAGGGGTGAGATTCTGAAAATAACTGTA